TTAAATGCTTTAAATTAAATTCTACTTTGTCTACATATTCAAAGTAACATTCTGAAGATGTTGGGTTAGAACAACATGTTGTATTTTTCTTCACAGCTTAAAGTTTTTGGAATAGAGCAAGAAACTTTTAAGATTTTGATCYTTAAGTGTCAATAGTTCTGAATTTCAAACTATGTGGTATTCTAATAAAACAAGCATCAGCTTGGAACTGTGTGTTATTTCAGTTAGATTTATCCATGCGTAAGATAGTGTTTCCCTCCAAGAAGAAGCAGAGGTTTCTAGTATTAGATGGACTGCAGTACTATGCTTCACAGCATTAAAAATTATTGATAATACTTTGCATTAGTTATTGCCACTACACTACAGCTTGGGTAATTATGCATTCAATATATAATGGCATGAGGCTGGAAATAAAGATTTCAGATATAGCAAGGCCATGTTCAGGCAGCTTTTTACCATYATGCTTTTGCTTTTAAAGTGAACTGTCGTACTTGAACCACCCCCTGAGCTGGCACCCCTTGAGCATGTACCTGTGCAGTGCCAGTCTTGCACAGAACACTGATGGGTTGGTACTGTACCAGGAGSAGCACACAGCTGTTTAGCTGTGTCTCTGTGGTAACTTGCCTGGCAGGACAAAACTGTGTTCTGAGTCAGACCGCGCAACACCTGCACTCTCTGGCTTGTTCTACCCTGGCCCACATGTATCCATAGCCCATACTGACTTGTTCTGGCCTGGACTCTCCTCAGCAGGGGAATAATGCTTTCCCTCCAAGAAGAAGGGGACAGTTATGAAACTGGTTCCACTTACCTTCTTCTCCTTAGTCCTTTCCACAAACCCAGGTCAAGACTCAGTGCCTCAATTCCATCCCTTCCGCTTGAGGACTGCGCAATGGGATGTACAGTGCAGGGACCAGGAAATGGATGAAGAGTTGRTAACAAGCCATAAGTAAGTGTTGGAGCRACCATTTGCCRAGAGACGGGAGAGACACAGAAACAACCTCRTAGACGTGGTAGAAYGTGCAATCTCTCAAACTTTATTGTGTGGTCCGGGGGGTTTTTATACCCCCGGTTCCTAACGGTAATGGCAGACAAACGTAAYGCTTTTTGTAACGGGGATAACGGTAACTTAACGTTCACAAGCCCCTACTAACAACATAAAATTCCTTATATGGCGGTTCTGCCTTTGCAGGGGGCGCATGCTGACTCCCCGTGTCATACAGTTACATTGGTGGTTCTCATGGCCACGAGGGTACTCGAGACAGGCCCTACTGGAAGCGTTACAGCACCTGCCAGCTGCTGGCCAATGGTGGCCAACGGTGCAGACTGTTCCAGAACCTTCAYGGGTCTTCTCTCCCCTTACCAGGCCTAGGCCTCAGATTGGCTCACCACAAGTAAGAGCAGTTACGCCTGAGTTGGTCTTTATCACTGGTTATGTTAGAAGACAACATCYCACTTCCCTGATCTTAGCATAAAAAAGGACCTCTACCAAGAGTTGGGAATGTGCAGCTTGGAGAAGGCTCAGGGGCCATTTTATCAATGCTCAAATGCCTGGAGGGAGACAGCTGAGAGGCCAAAGCCTGACTCTTGGCATTGGTACCCAAGGGCAGGCCCAGAGGCAGAAAGTTTGACCTGGGACACAGGAGGTTCCACTGCCCATCAGGAAACACTTTGTGAGAGTGACCAAGCATGGCACAGGTTGCCCAAGAAGGTGTTRSATGCTTAAATATGGCCTGGGCAGCTGATTGTAGGTGACCTTGCTTGGGCTAGGGCTTGGTCCCAATGGCCTCCAGAGGTCCCTTCCAGCCTTGGCCACAGTGTGATGGGAAGAAATGTTTCCTGAGAACATTTCCTTCCCTGTATCTTGATCTGTGTTTTCTCACGTTTGCCTTGTGACTCTCTCCCCTATCCCCTGGAGGGGGTGGGTGAGCAGCAGGATGGAAGGTCGCCTGCCAGCCAGGGCCACCCCTTCCCACCCCTGAAGGGACTGCAGTCTGGAGAGSAGYCAGGTGGGMGCACAGGCAAAGCAAGAGGCCRTGCTGTGCACAGACCCYGTACCTTGCRCCTCTTGGTGCTTGGCTGGTGGCATCCAGTGTGACTTTCAGCTGTAATGAGCAGGAGGAGGGAAGTCTGAGGGGAAGCTGAGCCTGGAAAGGCCATGAAGGAAACCAAAGTGATCTACTTCAAATGAGCATGTGTCCTRGGTAASTCCAAATGTTACTGTATTCYRTATCTGTGCCCAAAATTGTTACTGTCTCTTTAAGATCCAGGGCCATGGCTGGAAATGGAAGTGCAAGGGCCAGGGGTTGGTAGGATTCCTTTTAAAAGTTGGGGATCTCTCAGGCAGACCCCTCTTGCCATGTGGTGTTTGCTCAAGGCAGAACCTTTGCATTGGGTTTGTTTTTTTTTTGTTGTTTGTTTTTTTCTCTTCTTTTTTGTGGGTTTTTTTTTGTTTGTTTGTTTGTTTTTGGTTTTGGTGTTTTTTTGGATGCTTTTTTTTCCCTGGATTTTGGGTTTTTTCTTTCTTTTTCCCTCTCCCTTTTGTTCCTCTCTTGTATCTTGGACTGCCTCAAGGCAAATTCCAGGAGTGTGTGTCAGCAGTTGCAGCTCCTCCCCAGAAAGAACAGATCGGTCCTGATTCAGTCTGAGTTGCCCATAGCTCACCAGCAGGGCCCAGCTGAGGCAAGAAGGCACCAAGTCACCCCAGCCCAGCTGCTTTGCTGTGCCTTGTTTTGCCTTGCTGTTTTCCGACACAATGAAGGCAGTTTCTCCATGAGTTCTAGCCCTTTGCTGAATCTCAGTTGCCAGAGTGTGCCAGCTGCCTTTGCTGATGGAGTTGCCACCACCAAAGAGATGAGTAGGGAGAAAGGATGACTCCATTTTCCCTTTGTCTCCCTACATGTGGTTGCCCGTGGTGGATGCCATCTTTAAAGGTGGGAACACCCCTCCATTTTAGRTTTTTCTCTGTTCCTGTGGACTGTGTGGGATTTAGCAATTTTGTATCTAGTGATTATTTACTGTGGTTGTTTGCCTGTTGCTGTTTTGCTTGTTAGTAAACTTATTTTTTTCACCTGTATCTACTCATTTAATTTCTCCTTATTA